TCCCTACACACAATACTCTCTACCTCTGGAGGTTGTGGGCTCACCTGTACTTCAGCCTCTCTCTCTTGCCCTAGAGAGCAGGGGACCTTCCATTCATTCCCTGGTCCAGCCGACTGTGGAGTGGCTGAATTTCTGCTGCCTCCCAGGGACGAAGACTGCCCTGGGACAGTCCCTGGTTTCCCACACATTTTGGCCTTGGGGCCAGCAGATGAGGAAGCCCCATTCAACCCAGTGAGTGATACCCTGCAGGCCCCTCTCTGGAACTACAGCTCATTAAACCTTATGGGGGAAAATTTTAAACAAACAACCACAGCCATCTTACAAACACAAGTAACTGCCATTTCATGACACCTACCAACAGCCACTGAGGGAACAGTTAGTCCCACACAGGAAAAGCGTCTTTGTCAAAGAGAAAGCCGTTTGCCAGTAATTCTGACAGGGCACAGTGGCTGAAGGGGGAGTGGGCGGGAAAGAGGAGCAGACCCAGCACCCAGCCAATGTCACATGAGTACTCTTGAGTGGGAGCTGATGGGCCAATGGCTGAGGGAGAGCATGGAATCTTGCCACCCCAAAACAGGATTATAATATAGGAGAGATATTTTTCCAAGGAGTTCAGTGCAGTGGCCATTGTTCTTCCCTCACAGCAACAACCCTGTGGGGTAGGTTAGGCTAAGAGAGAGTCATAGAATCATAGAGTTGGAAAGGGCCATAAAGGCCATCTAGTTCAATCCTTTGGTTAATGCAGGATCAGTCTAAAGCAGAGGTGTCAAGCTCATTTTTTACACGGGCTGGATCTGACATAAATATCACTTTGTTGGGCCAGACCATGTGTGCCATAAAGTGTAATATGAGGTACTACAAGACAGTAATATGAGCCAGTTTGGTGTAGTGTTTAAGTGCACAGACTCTAATCTGGGAGAACCAGGTTTGATTCCCCACTCCTCCACTTGAAGCTGCTGGATGACCTTGGGCAAGCCATAGTTCTGTCAGAGCTGTTTTTGAAAGAGCAGTTTCTGTCATAGCTCTCTCAGCCTCACCTACCTCACAGGGTGTCTGATGTGGGGAAGGAAAGGGAAAGGAGTTTGTAAGCTGCTCTGAGACTCTGAGTGAAGGGCGGGGTATAAATCCAATCTCCTCCTCCTTCTCCTTCTCCTTCTGGAGATATAAACTTTATAAAGGTGATTTCAGTTGTTGAATGGCAATAGAAGGTGTGATGGGATTAGGTGTGATATGCAGAGCGGTAGTAGGCATGGAAATATTAGCATTGGTAATTAAACAGGAAATCTAGGTCTCAGTTTGGTCCAGGAGGATGCAAAGAATAAATGGAAATAAGTCTGAAGAAGTGAGCGGTGACTCATGAAGGTATATACCCTACCACAAATTTTATTAGTCTTTAAGGTGCTACTGGACTCTTTCTTTTTCTATTGCTATTAGAAACCACAACGTTCAAAAATCAGTGGGGGGAACATTTTAATCTTCCAGGACATTCAGTTGCTGACCTAAGAGTAGCAATTCTCTTACAAAGGAATATGAAAGGGAGATTAGAAAGAGACTGCTGAATTGCAACTGATAATGAAGCTTAAGATAATGCAGGCTCCTGGACTGAATTGAGACCTAGGTTTCTTCTCTCATTACTAATGCCTGCTGTTGTCATTTCACTTTCCAAGATATAAGGACAGATTGACTCACATTCTAGCTGTATCTGAAGAAGTGAGCAGTCACTCATGAAAGCTCATGCCCTGCCACCAATTTTGTTAGTCCTTGAGATGCTACTGGATTCTTGCTCTCTTTCAGTAATAAAAAATGCAAGCTGTGCTGTTATGTTCCCCCCACCCAATCTGTTAAAAATAGAAAGGGAGATCTCTTCAAGTGCCATGGGACTCTCTCTCTCTCTCTCTCTCTCTGGCATGCTTTCTCTGACTCTTTCCTTCCCTCCCTTCCCTTCCCCCCTCTGTGAAGAATTGTGCTTGCACACAAAAGCTTATACCTGGAATAAAACATTGATGTTAAACACACACACATATATATATATATATCTTTCTCGTGCTCTCACTGGCTCTTTCTCCCCCCCCCTTTTTGAAGAGGTCTGCACACACACAAAAGCTTATACCTGGAATAAAACATTGAAGGTCTTCTAAAAAGAGCCATGGGTCTCTCTCTCTCTCTCTTTTTTCCTTGCCCTCCCTCCCCAGAGGAGGGGGAGGAGCCCTCAGCCAAATGAGGGAAGGGAGGCTTGGCTTTCTTTCTCTCCTCTGCAAAGCAAAAAATAGGAGAGACTAGGCAAAAGCAGCTGCGATGAAGGAAACAGGAAACAGGAGAGAGCCAGTTGCTCACAGGCCAAGCCCTGCAGGGGCTGGGGCTGGCCTGTGGGCTGTATGTTTGACTCCCCTGGTCTAAAGCATCCCTGATAGTATTCAGCCAGCTGCTGCTTGAAGACTGCCAGTGAGGGGGAACTCACCACCTCCTCAGGCAGCCAGTTCAACTTTTGAACTACTCTTGCTGGCTGTCCAGCCAGCATCTTTCCATTTGTAATTTAAACCCATTGCTGTGAGTCCTGTCCTCTGCTACCAGCAGGAACAGCTCCCTGCCCTCCTCTAAGTGACAGCCTTTCAAATACTTAAAGAGAGCAATCATGTTCCCGCTCAACCTTCTCTTCTCCAAACTGAATGTTCCCAAGTCCTGCCTGTTCCAAAGTCACCAGAGAGTTTCATGGCAGAGAAGGGATTGGAACCTGGGTCTCCCAGATCAAACATTCCAACACTGTAACTGCTACTTTGCACTTGCACAAGAAAATTGGAATCCAGAGTGTATTTCTACAGCCATCCTTGTGGTTGCAGTCGCTTACAGTATTTGAGGTGAAGACTGAGTAACATGAAAATTAAAATGAAATTCACTTCTTTCATTTGCTCTAATCCACCCACTATAATGCATTTTCTTTTCAGATCCACGGTTTATTAGCACACATCTGATCCCAGAAAGTGACAACCCAGAAGATGACAAGATCTATTTTTTCTTCCGTGAAAATGCAATTGATGGGGAACATTCTGGGAAAGCCATGCATTCCCGAATAGGACAGATCTGTAAGGTAAAATGAATGGATTGGATGGGAATTAATGAGTGATGGTGGAAATCTATCCACCTTGATTTGCACTTGGTCTTAACCAGCCAAGTTATTTCTCTGTCTAGAAAAAAACAGAAAAGAAAAGAACCTTTTTTTTGGAAGCCCAATTCTGAATTCTCAACCTCGTTATACAGCCAATGATATCACTGGAAGAGGGGAAAAGACAAATCCTTCCCCCACCCCCTTTATCTCTGGTTGTCACAAAGTAGCAGCAACTGTCAGGCCTTCTCGCTGACCAGCTGCGTTTCCTTCCTCCTTCCAGTACCCAGTTCTTGAATTTAAAAATCTGGGGTATAAGGACCCCTGTCCAATTTCCTTCATGGCATTTGAGTGCATTTCCCAGGGCATCTGAAGTTCACTGTTGCTACATAAGGTTTGGAAGGAAATGAGGTACATTTGGGCTAGCCCAGAAAAAGAAAGCAAGGCCCCAAGAAATTTGGGGTGGATCTCTGGCTCAGTAGTAGAGCATCTGCTTCACACGCAGAATGTCCCAAATTCAAATCCCAGCAAGGGTCAGGTGGGAGGTAAAATAAAAGGTTTCTGCCTGAGACCCTGTACAGCTACTGCCAGTCTGAGTGGACAACACTGTCCTTGATGAAACAAGAGTCTGATTCAGTATAAGGCAGCTTTATGTGTTCATGTAAGCCAGCAGTGATGGCAGCAAAGAAGGAGTAGAATCACCACACTATGGAAGGGGAGGCCCACTGCAGGCATCATATTCAGGGCTCTCCAAAACCTGGGGCTAGTAGTGGACACATATCAAGCCTGTACTTCTATCTTCCCTGCTTAAATTAATGGGATTGAAAGGGCTTATGTTTGGCGTGGTTGTATTCCAAAGGTCATTGCCAGCTCTGCCTTCAGAAGCTCGGCAGAAAGTCTGCTGTACCATTGATTGAGCAGGAAGGGCATTTGGGAATCACTTTGACCACACTGAATTCAGGCTTGGGGCAGCAGGAAATCTTTCATCCTTCAGATCCAGGATCTATCTGGCCTCTTCACTCAAGGATCAAAAAGAAGAAGAGAAGAGGAGATTGGGGTTATACCCCACCCTTCACTACCCAAAGGAGTCTCAGAGCGGCTTACAATCTCGTTTCCCTTTTCCTCCCCACAACAGACACTCTGTGAGGCAGGTGGGGCTGAGAGAGCTCTTTTGAGAACTGCTCATGAGAGAACAGTTCTGAAAGAACTTGTAACTGACCCAAGGTCACACCAGCAGCTGCATGTGGAGGAGTACAGAATTAAACCCTCTTCTCCCAGACTAGAGTCCGCGTTCCGAAACCACTACAGCAAACTGTCACCAAGCAGTGGTGGAGAACAGTGTTAGGCCTTGGTTTTAGAAGCCCAATTCTGAATTCTCAACCTGTATATTGCCAAAGTCAGACCAAAGTCAGCCAGGCTTTGACAGGAGCAGGAGAGGGAGCTGCTGCTAGAGTGGTGAGTGTTTTTATTATTTGCCTTTTCTTAACTGCTGAGAATTAACTGAGGTTACTGTGTGGGAGGATAGTGTTTGAGGGTGTGTGGGTGTGTATAGTGGTACCTGTTTGAGGAAGTGTGGTTTCTGTTTGCCTCTTTTGCCTGGGTGTAACTGATTGTAGCTTTTAGCAGTTTTGCCTAGGGCTGACTGCTGGCTTCGCCGTCTGCTGGGTGAGCCTTCAATTGTGTAAGGCTCTTCCTCACCAGAAGTGCCATCCGAAGGGTGAGAGCTCAAGGGATCTTAGCCTGGGGGTCTGGCCTGGGGGCCCTGTAGGAAGCTGAGTAGCTCTTTCATCCTATATCTGTTAAGTTCTTCTGCTTCTGCAAACCTTTCACAAGTAGTCTTGAGAGGCAGTTTTGGTAGGGGAGTTACCAAGGAAGTGCAAGTTAAACTGAACTAATTTTGGAATGTATTGCAGCAGAATGGCTGGTGAGGGAGCTGAGGCAGTGATGTGCAAAGTCTATCACATGTTCATATTCTTACATGAGGGTGTAACGAAATGGCTGCCAGGCAGAGGCAGCAGTACATTAAAATGGCTGCTAATCCTCTGGAGGGGGGAGGGACTCCATAGGGAACAATGGGGCTGCCATACCTCCCTGCCTACATTTCCCAGAAGGTTTAGGGGGAAAGTGTGGGAAAGTATGAACCCACCCCGGGGGAGGAGCCTGGCAGAAAAAGGCTTTAGCCCTCCAGGGAGGCTTTTAGTCTCAGCCTAGTCTTGGCCTTCGCCTGAGCTTGAACAGCAGCTTCAAGGGGGGCGTACAGGTGGGACTCCTGCTACCAACACTCCATGGTCAGTCCAGGCCAATGTTCCCTCTAAGCTGTGGAGTCTTGTGAGCAAGAATTCTTCTTTGTGAGCTACTGGCATTAAAGTTGTGAGTGAGCAATTTGACTACTGCATAAATTAGTCTGCTCTGGAGCAATCCTGCCTGAGCTAGGACAAAAATGTGTGAGCTGGAGGCAAAAAAACTGTGAGCTAGCTCACACTAACTCAGCTTAGAGGGAACACTGGTCCAGGCCACTATAAATCATGGTGGACAGCCAAGAGGGTTAGCAGTACTGGTGACCAGTCCAGTGAAGGGCTGAAGTTTCTCTCCAACCAAGAGGAGGGGGAAAGCAAATCCTGGCCTGCAGCCACCCACTATAGAGGTAGAGAGGGTGTGTGTAGGGGACAGATTAATTGTGTTTAGATGGTGTTTATTTTCTACCCAGGTTGAGTTGATGTGCCTGTGTTTATTTTCTGTGCCTAACTTGTATATAGTTAAAATAAAACTTTTTTTAAATTATAAAGCCTGGTAGTGCATTGACCACATATTCCTTCCCGCTCAGCACATTACCAGAGACAAAGGGAAGCCAAGGAACGCAAATGGGCCCAAATCAGAGAGGTTGCAAACTCTCCAGGGGGCGCCCAAAGATTGAGATATCCACTTTCCCAGGTTGGGAAATCAGCTCTCCCTGTCCCGCTAGGAAGGCAGTGTCAATTCAGTGAGTGGTGGCAGTGAATGAGGAAGGGAAATAGCCCCACCAGGCAGGGTGGGCAGGCGAAAATAGGGGCTTGCAGGCCAGCGAATGGCTATTCAGTCTCTCAGGGCTGAGGGCAGGTCCCTATTTCATCGCAGAGGGTAACAGCAATTACACTTCAAGCAAGTGTAAGTTGGTAGCCCTACTAGAGGAGAAGATACAGGGACTTGAGGCACCCTTGTCCACACTCCACGTTTTAAGAGACGGTGAATATTTCCTGGACAAAACAGATGAAGCCCTTCTGAGAGGGAAACAGGAGGTGGAAGGAAAATTATCTCGGCAAATGGAGGAGCGCCCAGCATGGGAGGAAGGCGCATGGAAGAATATAACCCACTGGAACAGAAAAATCAGGAGAGGTTCTGAGCCTCTGTTGCTAAGCAATTGGTTCCAGAATCTCCCCACAGATATTGATTCTGGACCACTGGAACAAGGGCACCTCTCTCAGCCTCCACAAAGCTTGAAGGAAATGTCTCAGGCCCCCATGGATGAGAGGACTCGAGCTTCTGCTCCCCAATATAGGAGAAGGCATGTGTTGGTAATTGGGGATTCCCTACTGAGAGAAGTAGAGGCTAAAATGTGCCGACTGGACTTGTAGTCTCAAGAGGTATGCTGTCTACCAGTTGCATGCATCCAGGCTGTGACAGAAAGGGTAGGAAGGCTCCTCAAGCTCATGGATTATTATCCTTTCTTGTTCATCCATGTGGGAACAGATGATACTGCCTGGCACAGCCAAAAATGGATAAAAAGGTGAAGGACCTGGGAGTGTAGGAAGTGTTTTTTATTTATTTATTTATCGTTCGATTTATTACCCCGCTCGAACCCCCGCTAAGGGGGTTCTTCCTATCAAAGCTCGTGGCTTAGGAAGGGAAAGAAGAATACTGCAAATCAATGACTGGCTACGAAGATGGTATCATCAGGAAAGGTTTGGATTTTTGGATCCTGGATTATGCTTTCATCACCATTGGGTGGCGGTTTATACCTCACAAGGGTAGGAAAAAATGTCGTTGGTAAGAGCCTTGCAAATCTGATAAGGAGGGCTTTAAACTATATCATATGGGGGAGCAAGACAAAAAATTCAAAGGCTAGTATGATACCAATAACTGGAGATAAGAACACTAATATTTTACGGGGAGTGGCACATATGCTAGGTAATATTAACTTGCAGGTATGTTTAGAAATGAAAACCTCAAGCTGCATAAAACATCAATTCCAGTGTCTCTACACTATTGCACAGAGCATGGGAAACAAGCAGGAGGAACTTGAAGTCCTAATCCAGGAAGGGAACTATGACCTAATAGGCATTACTGAAACTTGGTGGGATGATACAATTGGAATATTAAGACTGAGGAGTACAACTTATTTAAGAGGGACAGACAAATAAGGAAGGGCGGAGGAGTTGCATTATATGTAAAGGAGGTATATACTTGTGAGGAAATATGTACATCTGAGCATGAAAGTCCAGTTGAGAGTTTCTGGGTAAAAATAAAAGGAGTAAGTGTTGGATCCCCAGGCATTCGAAATAACTCCATGTTTGATTCAAAGCAAGGTTTATTTCAAAGCGATGGTTCAGACAGGAACAAGGACATTGTTAGGAATGACTATCAATACACAGATATAGCATAATAAAGGGATTTGAACCATGTTAGGGCCAATGAGCCCAGTTCCCGCTGGCGGGAATAGAACTCGTAAACGCGCGCCCATTTCATGGGAACGTAACAGTTCAGTACTATCAGTACAGGTTCAGTTCACAGGGTAGATAACCATAACAAGCCGAGCGAAGCACCGACTCCCCCCACCAGCTGCATGACCTTGGCCAGTACCGCAAAATACAGAGAAGCATAATGAAGCTACAAGAACCCGGGGGGGGGGGGAAAAACATGTTAAGCAGGTAACAACAGATACAATGGCAGCTAGCTGACAGTAAGAAGTAATACTGATATTCTGATGGGGGTCTGCTATAGACCACCAA